GGGTTAAAAATCAGAAATGCTATAACATGAAAAATAAAAGACCCAGAGACAGATATTGGGATTCAAGCTTCAAACTGAAGCCCAGAGAAGCAAAGCAGCCGGCCACTAGCTCTAATCTCCACCTCAGGCTGAAAGGGCTGATCCTGTCTCCGCCAACTCTCACCATGCCTCTGACGATGCCTCTCCCCAGTGTGGCGGGAGAACCAGCGCCTTCCTATCCTCAATGTGGCTGGAGAATGAATGCCAGCTCTGAGACACCCCCCCCCCACTCATGAGTCCTGGGATTAAAGGCGTGAGCTCTGTTTCTCTGTGGCACTCTCATGCCCTAGGCTCCCTAGAAATGCAGAAGGAACCCAATGACAACTGAACTCCTTGCAGAAAGGGAGTTAGTCTTCGTAGCTAAAGTAGAGATGTGTTTGCTCCTGTCACTATACCTATACAAAAAAGAAAGAAAGAAGGAAGGAAGGAAGGAAGAAGGAAAGGAAGGAAGGAGGAAAGAAAGAAGGAAATAAAGAAAGAAAGAAAGAAAGAAGGAAGGAAGGAAGGAAGGAAGGAAGGAAGGAAGGAAGGAAGGAAGGAAGGAAGGAAGGAAGGAAAAGCTTTGCAAGAACACACAAAGACTCCCAGGGAAGAAAGTCATTGATACCATGAAACATTCCCACGTCTGAAGGTCTCCAACAACTGTCCTCCTCCACATCACTCCATCCACCTAAGGAACAGGGGGGCTAAAGCCTCAGTAAATTCCAGGTCTAACCCCCAGCTGAACTTGGGCAAGAAGGAGGGTATCTCCAATATGATAAACTCTTTAAATGTATGTTTCTTTTATGTGTACAGGTGTTTAGCCTGCATGTATGCCTGCCATGCACATGCTTGATGCTTACGAAGACCAGACCAGGGCACCAGGTCCCCTGGAACTGGAGTTACTGATAGTCGTGAGCCACCATGTGGGTGCTGGGAATAGAACCATGTCTTCTGGTGTATCAGCACTCGTAACTGCTGAGTCATTTCTCCAGCCCAGGACAAACTGTTTCTTAACAGGGATTCCTTCTGAGGCCCAGAACAACAGGAAGAGCATCTGTTACTGGGGAGCAGGTGCTCACCCTTGGGTACTCCTTGAATATCTTAAAGAGGGAGATGCCAGAGGCTCACCTGAGAACCAGAGTCAGAAAGGCTAAGGCCGAGCCTCCGGAACACACACTAAACTGAAGTAAGGCAAGAGTACCACTTAACTGTCTCCAACAGACTCTGATGCCCAGCAAGACCGCCACGCTGGGAGTCAAGGACAACTGCTCCTGGAAGCCAGTTTTGCAGGGACAATGAAAACCAAAGGTAAGACAAAATTACCACAGTCTCCGCAAGCTGTGCTCCTCAGTGCACTCCTCAGTAGCTCTCTCAGTTTTATTCAGCATCTGGAAACGGCATCTTCCACTCTGAGCCCTGGCCAAAACAGCCAGAGCCAGGTGCAGCTCTCAAAGGCAGGACCCAAAATACCCAACTGCAATGTCTGGGACCTGGCAAAAGCCCCTTCTGCCTTTTGTGAACTAGCCCAGGTTTCAGTAGCTAACATCTGGGAAAGGACCCGGGTCTTGTGGACACCTATAGGCCAGACAGCACCTGCCACTCCATATGTCACCCTGGGAGGGAGTCAGGTGCCACGGCCCAAAGACATTTTACGGGGACCTTGCATTGTTGGGTCTCTCTGGCATCAACCTCACACACATCTGACACACGGCACCCTGGGCCTGAGCAACCCAACTGTTCCTCTAGCCACCCCTCCCTCCTCCAAAGCGAAAGCACGGTGTCTGACACTAGGCAATGTCTTCAGCCTTTCCAGAAATGATGACTTAAAAAAAATAATAACAGCCTAGCCTAGGCTGTCTAACTCAAAACTGCAAATTTTCGATGTAGAGAATTTTTGTTTTTAATTTATATTTTGATTTCTTTCCGTATTCTTCTTTCTCTGTCTCTTAAAAACAGAGCAAATGATGAGTAAGGGGTACACTCCACCCACCCCCCTTCCTCCCAGGGGTATCCGAACTGCCACACTCGCTCTTCTGGCTTTGTAGGGAAAGTCACTTAATGTCACAGTGAACTAGATATGTTCGTGCCATGACTTGTACTTCCTTCCCTCCATTCCTTTGCAGCCATCAAAAATAACCACCAGCGAAATTAGGTTCTCACCACAAAGATGCGTGAGAGCTGACGGCCACAAATCACTACTCCTTGACGGCAGAAATGTTGAAGGAATAAAACGTCAGTCTTGACCTTCTGTTAGTCCTTGGTGTGGAATGAACCACCAGGGATACGATGACTGTGTTTCTTGTATTCTTTCATTATTATTTTAAGGGGGTTGGAAAAGAATAGACTCAATTCTAAGGGAGGTTGCGATGCGAATGCTGCGACTGTGGATCTCTTAAACGCCGAGCAAGAAGAATCCATCCCACAGTCAGACTGAGGCCAATCTCCAATTAGTAACGTTGGTTTATGGCCCTCTAGGGTCCTCTATATCTACTGTCACCCAAGACCAAGTCCCCATAATTTTCCCTTTCATTTATTATTCCTTGATTGCTGGCCTTTGAATAAACATTTAGAGACAGAAATAAAGGAGCCTTTTCTACAAGCAGACGTTTAACAGTTTGCTTGCCTTTGCTTTTTTTTTTATTGTGTGGGCAGGCCCATCCATGAGCACGCGTGTTTGCAGGTCTGTGCTCTTTTTCAGAATGCACAAAGGTGCCGGGAGAGGACTCCAGGTGCCTCCTGCTCTAGCTCCCCTTATGTCTTGAAACAGGGTCCTTCACCAAGTCTGAAGCTCCCTTTTTTAAGTTAGGTGGCTTGGCTCACAAGCCCTCAGGATCCACCCATCTCTGTTTCCCAGTGCTGGGGTCGCAAGCACACAAGGCCATGTCTAGCTCTTCCGAGAATGCTGGGCACTTGGACCCAGTACACCCCGTTTTCATGGCAAGTACACTCACCTTCCTGAGCCATCTTCTCTGCCCCATATGTTTATTTTAAAGACATAGTAAAAAAACGAGTGGGTGAGTACCAGGAACCAGGAGAAGGAAGAACAGCTTTACAAAATTCTGCTTAATTAAGGGCCCAGGCACCTGGTTAATGACCTAAGTTCTGTCCCCAGGATCCAAGAGGTTGAAAAAAAGAACGGATTCCTATGAGTTGTCCTTTGACTTATACACACACACATACACTCTCACACACACACACACACATACACTCACACACACAAAACATGATAAAAATTTACTTGGTTTTCAAATAAATGTTTTTTTTAAATAATTGAGAAGCACCCCACATCAAGTTATGACCAAGCAAAAAAATAAAACTAACAACTGATACATTAAAAATGAGGCCGCATGGGTAAGAGACGTTTAGTCCTGCCAAAGGTTAGCACCTCAGAGGAATGTTCAAAGGAGACACAGCTAAAACTGGCCCTTCGGCGTGTGAATTTCAAAGGACACAGAACTTTCAAGCTCTGGGCCTTCACATGAATCAAGTCCCATCCCAAAGAGCTTCAAAAGGCTGCTGCTGGCAAAATCCAAATACAGCCTGAAGTTGGGTAAATTATAACACACCAGTGACCCGTTTGTACTTCACGTGACAGAGGAACCACAATAACAGAAGATGTCAACATTGGCAAGCCCAGGCAGAAGTTTCCAGAAATGCTCTGTCTACAGCTTTTCTATAAATCTAAAATTACTCACAAATAAAAATTTTACTGAAGAACAAACATGAGGCCACAGTCCCAAGTTAGAGTGTCTGGCTTTGATCCGAAGCTGTTGCTCGCACAAAGACACAGAAAGAAGCTCACCCATCTAGAGACTTACCACAGCCAACACAGGCGAGCAGCTCAACTCTCAATTAAGAGGAAGATTTAATGGGAATGACTACAACAACCAGGGGTGTCTGGGCAGTGCTTCCAAGTACCTCTACTTATATGTCCCCCTGCAGTGCTTTTGGTAAATCAAACCGACATAATTCAAATTACATTTCAAACACACTCAGGAAAGCCAGTATGCTTAGAAGTTGTTGAGAAAATACCAAGGAAAAGGGAGGTCCTGACACGAAGAGCATGACTTCACTCTTGATTATTGCTGGACAAATTCACTTGGCAGGAATGAAGGTAGTTTTGCTTGGATCCCCTTTGCCCACAACACTGCCCTAGGAGCCCCACGGGTAAAAAGCTGTCCAAAACAGGCCATTGCTTCAGATTCCCCATGGTTCTCTTTCCATTTTGCTCAGCCACATCGCTTATGTGACTTAGACTAACTCACTGCAGGTCACACGCAGGTCTCAACATCGCAAAGTAGGCTGGCCCTACAATGGAGCAGTCACCTGAGCAACAAGACAGAGAGGACAAGACACTTTCCTGAAGCGGCGAAGGTGTGACGATTGTCACTCCATCGCCGGAGCCCTGACTGATGGTCAGGCAGGCCATCTCCTCCTCTGATAAAAGGATTGCTCACCATAGCCGGGTCAGCAAGATACACGGTATTGGTTTCTAGCCAAAAATGTGAAGGTGGGATTCTGTCCCTAAATGGATATGTCTTGAATATTTTATGAGCCAGCCAGTTCCTCTGCTCTTGGTTTTCCATGGGACTCAGCACTTGACAGGAGATCTCATCAAACATGGAGGTGATGACAAGAATGATCTTCTCATGACCTACCAACGCTCTCCACCAGGAATGCTGGGTGGATCTGATCACTGCCCAGACTTGTCCATCCCCTACCTTCTGGGGGTCACACTAGTCCCTCTCCTTGACACAGCTCCACCCTGTCAATCATTTTAGACTGATGGCCTTTAAGAGGAATCATCTCAGCATGGTCTTCAAGTTGCCAGCTGTCTACGCTCCACACTTGCCGTGAGGAGCAGATCTGCTGTGTCACCAGGGCTAGCTACATTAAAACCAGGCTGGATGGTTTTCAACCCCAGTACCTTATTGTACTAGTCTACCGCTTCTCTGGGTGCAAAACCTCCAGGTACTCACCATAATCAATGACAGGCCGGCCCATGAAGTGAGCAGAAATCTGCCTCTCATCCTTTCCATACTCGTTCTTGGCCATCAGTGTGTAGTCTCCATTATTCATATGAGTGGGATTATCCAGCTGGAGGCAGCCGTGGTACTCCGTGTGATTGGTCACGTGAATTTTAGTACAGATGTATTTGGATTCGTTCAATATTGCCCCGTTATAGAACCACTGAAGCGCTGGCTTGGGGTTGCCTCTCACGGTGAATGGGATGCACCAGTGGTGGTCTGAGGTTGGAGATTCGAGAAACGTGATCGTTGGTGCAACTAAATGAAAAGAGACAGAGTTAATAGCACCAGCAAGCTTGGAATTCTTCCCATTGAACAATGTGTTATTAAGAAGGGCTTTTATTTAACCATCATTTAATTTAAGGAAACCCACAATACGTAACCTAGGTCAATCACTTTGTATCATCTGACTGATTTAACTCCCTTCCAGGAGCTTCAGGGAGCAACTTACCCCTCTCCGCTCATGACTCACACAGCACAACAAGACTCTGTGGTAGGAAGTGTTCTGCTTTGGCTCTGTTCATGCATGTACACAGACACACACACACACACACACACACGCACACACACACACACACGCGCGCGCACACACACACCTTAATGTTATGTGGATTCATCATAAATAATGAGGCATTTTTTCATTAGCAATTCTTCCTTAAGTAATTAAAATTGCCATAAGAACCGCTAACTTTGGAAATGTCCCTGAGTCTCTGATCAAACGGGACGCACACGGTAAAATGGACCCCTCTCATCCATAGTGAATGGTGCTGCTGTGGCTGTTTGGTCAGCACAGAGTATGAGAACCTTAAAACTTCTGTTGCTGCTGAATAGCAAATGCACTTTCAGGTGCACTGAATCAGAATGTGGTCTAATTTTCCTAGTTTCGGAATGTCCCTGTTTTAACTCCTGAGATGTCTGAGGACTGATGTAAGCTTGAAAAACAGCCTGGCAATTACGGGACTTTAAATGTGCACAGCACCTCATGCTTTGGGGAACTAAGCTCGGGTGAGTGGTCTCTTCACACACACTCCTCAGGATGGGGACCAGGGGCTGACATTTCTTAGTTAAGCACACACAAAAGCCTGAAATATACTCCGAGGTCACCAGCATAAGCAGCCCACGGACTTCCCGTGACGAAGGCGCGACACCCACAGTCACTACCTATGGAAACCACACACTGCTCTCACTACGTACAGTGCACAGTGAGGTTCACAGAGTCTTGATCTTCTCCTACGAGGTTTTCTGCCACACAAGAGATCTGCTTCCCACTGTCATCAGACGAAATGTTCGTTATCCTTAAGGAACCCTGCGTGTGGCTCGTTTCATTCTACAAACAAATTAACAGACAAAAAAAACTTAGATTAGAATCAATCCTAAAGTATCAACTTTTCTTCCTGAAATGGAGTACACACACACACACACACACACACACACCTGTGCACACACATATACACACACCTATACACATATGTAAACACACACACATTCTCTTACAGACATTCTCTTACACACACACTTATGCCCACATATGAACACAGTTATACACACCCTACATACCACACACACATACACACATATAGATACAGTTACATGCTCTCTTACACACACTTATACACATACACACTTACATATACACACTTACACACACTTGTACTCAAACTTACACATACATATACACACTTACATGCACACACACACACACACTTTCTTACAAGTTCCAGACTCATGTAAGCATAAGCCATTCTCTCACTCTGGGTTTCAGTTGCTCAGTGTCTCAGTTTGACTGAATTCCTGGATTCTTACCCACCTTCCTCCCAGGGCAAAGACTACAATACTCTCAGTCAATTCCTTGCTCAGAATGGTACAGAATGCATTATTATCTAAAGACACTCTTCCAGTCTGGTGTGGACAGACAACTAAAATGTAATCTTGAATTAGCCTTATCTAATTAAGGATAAATAGAAAATAAATGACATTAAAATTCATTTTATTGGGAGCCAGAGGCAGGCAGATCTCTGTGAGCTCGAGGCCAGCCTGGTTTACACAGTAAGTTCCAGAACAGGCTCCAAAGCTACATAGATAAACCTTGTCTCAAAAAAACAAAAAAAAAAAACAACTATCTTAAAGGCCTACATATGGGTCCATAAAATATTGGGTGGTTCTGATGGTCGGTAAGAATCAGAACTTGACAGTTCAGGGTCACCTGGGAAGGAATCTCAATGACGAACTGTTGGGGTTAGTTGAGGCTGTGAGAGATTTTCGTAACCAGATTAACTACAGTGGGGGGAGCAGGTCAAACTATTTTGATTCTGAGCTGATGAAAAAAATGAGTTGATGCATTAATTCCTTGTCCCCTGCTCTTGCCTGTAAACTTAATGACCAGCTCCTTTAGGCTCCCGAGGCTGGGACTTCCCAGCCATGATGGACTGTAGCCTAAACTGGCACCCAGTGAACCCTTTTCCTTTAAGTCGCTCCTGTCTGGGCCTTCTTTTTTTTAATCACAGCAGCAGAAAGGAATCCAAGAGAGCGGTCATCAGTATGTCCAATACGGTCTCCCCACCGCCACACTACAAGACAGAACTAAACGTGAGCCTTACCATGTGTTTGGAAACCAAATTTCCAACATCCCAGTACAGTGTGGGGAGCGGATCACCCGCCACGCTGCAGGAGAGTGTGATGGAGTTTCCTTCCTCCACGGTGAGGTTAGGGGCAGCCAGACGTGCGGACGGCAGACCTGTGAAAGGGGAGGCACACGGAGTCACACAGTTACACAATCAAACGGTGGCACACACCTACATGTTCACAGAAGCCTCCGCTACCCTTTTATTTTTATTTATTTATTTATTCATTTATTTATTTATTTATTTTGCGGTAACTCATTTTAGTCTAGAAACATACCATCAGACCTAGAGTTCGGGAGAATCCGACTGTCAAGGAAAGCTAGTTTGAAAGCTATTTATCAAGGATGGAACTCAAACTAAGTCAGGTGAGGATTAATCATTGTGAGTTAAATGGACCATCTTGTTCGTACTAATGATGAGGAGTTATATGAATCCTGATCGCAATGAAAAATTCTTTATTTTAAAACTTAAAAACCTTAAAAATGTACTTGTTGTTAGAGGAAATTGTGACTATGACACTTTTTTTTTTTTAGCTTTTCAGTGGTGTGGTTATTGTGCTTTATATTCCAAGAGCTAGACAGTTTTTATTTTAATTCCTGCTGTTTCCACGTCTTCAGGCATTGCTCCTCCCAGGTGTGCTCACTGCCTTTCACTGCCAAGAATCACGGTACCTTTCCTAAAGCAGGGCTTGGAGGACTAGCAGTGTGTTGGCCCTGCCAATCAAAGCAGACCCCCCCCACTTGATATGAGGACTATTGTTCACCCCAATAGCCAAGTCTTACAGGACACTGATGGATCATTGTCTAAGAAGCCACGTGGAGGTCAGAAAAGGCAGCTCACAGCGACCACTCTTCAATTGCAGTTAACCCTCTTGTTTGCCGGCAACCAGACCGCCACGTTTCATCCACAGACTCGTCATCATCAAGCAACCCTCACTGTCTAAGCCACCGCTCTTTGCGACTGACGTCACGCCACACAGCATTTACACGGTGCGTCTCATGGTGTTTTGACCACCGGGAGAGGACACCCTAATAAAATTTGGCTCTCGGGGACTTGCGGTGCACCTTTTCCCATAAGCATCCAATAGAGAGGGGTGTCACATCTCTTGGTGGTTTCAGAGAGGTCTGGGCTATCCCAAGTTTCACAAGGCAACGGGGAACACAGCAATGGTTAAGAGAAAGTGCAGATAACAAAAACAGGTCCGAGATGTTAAACTTCATTCACACAAACTGTGTGAACTAGGAGGCAGGTCAAGACAGACTTCCGTTAGAGTTGGTGGTAGGGTCTGGGTAACTTCTTAAAAGTACGTGTTTTCATTAATTTTAGCCTGGCGTGTAGTCTTGTCATTTGAAGAGTCTGTACCCTATGAAACTTGCTATCACAGGCACTGAAGCTGTTGTGTGAAGAGCAGTTGGGCCCAACCCCACCTGCACGGCTTCGCTTCCTGAAACCCGTTTACATTTCTTCTCTGCTACTGATCTCCTCCCCACTAAATATTGTGCTTTCTCTCCTCCTTTTGTTGGTTTTTCGGTCGCAGAATTACCCACCGATCCCCTGCCAGGAGAGAGCTGGAGTCTACTCCCATCTGCGCAACCACCTTTCCCGCCTGCCCACTCCAGACTCAGCACAGCCGCATCTCAGCACCACCACACAGGCTGGGCAGGCGCCTTACCCACTGGGGACATAAATCCTATCATGGTATGTCAACTTCACTGAGAGCTGAACTGTCTAAAACCCATAGAACCTATCTGGTTGTCTTCATATCATTTTGAGGAAGAGACAATTCCAATTACTCAGCCCAATGGAAGGATTATTGGACATTGTCCCAACAACGCCCTGCTCCAAGGAGGGAAAGTATGTATGTATGTATGTATGTATATATGTATGTATGTATATAATCAATATGCAAACCCATCATGTTTTCTATGAATGCCATAGCCTCAAATCTACCTGCAGCCTCTCAGAATCTTTGCTCTATTCTCTTTATAGAATGCATCTTCAGTTTCCCCCTGAGGAAAGAGGGTCACATCACCGGGACCATGTAGAGCAAAAAGCATGTTGAGTATGAACATACAGGAGGTTTGCAGCCACTGTCTGTCATGGTGTCGCCCACATGTTGCATGAATAAGTAAAAGACCCAGAGACTGATGCTGGGGTTCAAGCTTCAAGATGAAGATCAGAAAAGCAAAGCAGCTCTTAATCTACCTCAGAAGGAAAGGTGATCCTGGCTCCACCAAACCTCAAACTGTAACATCTCTTCAGCGTGGCTGGAGAATCCTGAGACTTCAATGCCTTCCTGTCCTCACTGTGGCTGGAGAATGAATGCCTGATACTGAGACCTTGCTCCTGTCTTATATACCTCCCTAATTCTGGGGTTAAAGGCATGTGATGCCAGGTGCTGAGATCACCTTTGTGTGAGCTGTTTCTCTCTTTGGGACTGGATGGATCTTGTGTAGATCTGGGTGGCCTTGGATTAACAGAGATCCATCTACCTCTTAATCCTGAGTCCTAGGATTAAAGGTGTGTGCCACCACCTCCTAGCTTCTGGCTTCTGGCATTAAAGGTGTGTATCACCACTACCTGATCTCGATAGCTTGAGGCTGACTTTGCTTTCTGAACCCTCAGCCAAGCTTTAATAATTCATAAATAATACATCACCACACTCATGCAAAGTCACAATTTTTCCTTGGTTTTCTCCGTGGACCATTTGGTGACTGACATTCTGACAGTTCCCCCATATCCCCTGCTTCCCCAGCTAATCCCTTCTGGTGTTTTGTTGGCTCAATTTTCCTTGTAGTTGCATATTTATTTACTGACTCTAGGGCGACCTTGGGAGCCAGATTTGTTCTAAAGATGTTATATCCTCTTATAGCCCTGTCCTATGATAGCCCTGTCCTAAGTATGGAGCTTCAAGGCATCCCTTTGGGTGCCCCAACTACAATACTTTGGCATGTGTGCTCCCCTTTGAAAGTGTATCTGTTATTTTAGATGTTCTGAGCCGAGAAAGGTTAAAATGGGCTTCTGTAGGATAAGCTACATCATGATCTTAATTATTCCCATAAAATCTGGCTCAGTCTTTCTTTTCAAACCTCAGTTTAGAAGACTAACGGCCCTGAGGATGCTTATTCACAGTAGTAGCAATAGTAACATTTGCTGGGCACTCTCTTAAAGTTGGTGCTCTCTCTGGGAACCCATATCACGTGGAGGGATGCTCTCTTAGCCTGGACACATGCGGGAGGACCCAGGCCCTGCCCAGGATGGTGTGACAGACTCTGAAAATCCCTCATGGAAGCCCTTGCCCTCCCTAGGGAGCAGAGGGGGATGGAGTGGGGGTGAGAGCTTGGGAGGATTGAGGGGTGGGGGAGAAGGGGAGGGAGAGGGAACTGAGAGTGACATGTGTAAAAAGTTAAATAAAAAATATTGAAAAAGGAAACACAGGAATGCAGTTTTCAAGATCACAGACTGGATCATGTGCAATTGAATTCCCTTCTGCTCCCAGAAAGGCTTCTCATTAGCTACAAGGTGACACTTAAAAATAAGAGATGGGGGCCAGGCATGGAGGCTGTAATCCCAGCACTCAAGAGAATAAGGCTGGAAGATGAGATAAGGCAGGAGGACCGCAAGTTTGGATCCATCCTGGGCTACATAACAAAGCCTGTCTTGAGAGAAATAAAAAGGATGAGGGCAATGGTGACCCACATCTTTAATTTCCAGACTCGGGAGGCAGAGGCAGGCGGATCTCTGAGTTCAAGGCCAGCCTGGCCTATAGAGATTGTTCAAGGACAGCTAGAGCTACACAGAGAAACCCTGTACTAAAATAAAATTAATTAGTTAGTTAAAAGGGAGGGAGGGGAGGGAAAGAGGAAAAGATCTAATATGTCAATCAAACCATGTTGAAATTATCAAGAAGTTATCCTAATTGAAATATTAATTAATATTCTATTCTAACTAACAATGAACTTTATCCTAGGACTGAACCCTAAGGTATTGACTAAGAGTATGAAGCCATCACAGTTAGGAATAGATTTTATTTATTTATTGGTTTGTTTGTTTTTCGAGACAGGGTTTCTCTGTGGCTTTGGAGTTATTTTCCTTGCTGTATCCCGTCAAGACAGCACTTTTATGTACGTGTCATATTTAATACCACGTGAGAACACTAGTGAATATGCATGCTTATATGTGAGTGCTGAATGTAACAAATGCATACTTGTTGTGAGAATGCCTGTCCAAATTGTTCTCCTGATCAAAAGACACAGCAAGATGTTTCAGAAAGAAAAACAAAACAAAAAATAAATAAAATAAAAATAAAGTTGACGCTCTCATCCAGTGTGGTTGGTATCTTATCGAATCCTTATGCCTAACCCTGAAGACAAACACTTTCACGCTTGTTTAATTAATGATGCCTGCGAGTATCATAAAAGTCAAGCACGTCTCTCATAGCTGCTAGACTCAACGCAGACTGAGACTTGGCCCCAAAATAAAGGGCGTCACCACTACAGTGCGTTGCCACCGGAGCTTCTCACACTCGTCCTTGCACAGACCATGCCTATCATGTCACATCCCTGATCTGAGAATTCGGCTCATTTGAGAAGAGTCCTGTGCCCGTTTTGTGAAGGAAGGATGAGCATCCTTATTATAAGCTGATCGTCTTACCCTGTCATAGGAGCTCCCAGAGAATCTGTGCAAAATGGGCCATGCTTAGGGGTTTGGAACGCAAAGTCTCCTGTAAATGAGTGAGCACCTGTCTCCAGCGTTGATGCGCTGGCCAAGGCCCAATAATGGAAAAAACAATCTGTACTTGAAATATCACTTGAGGCTTAATTAGCACAATAAAAATGAATTGGGACGCTTGGATCGCCAAGGCGGGATAAACCACTTGCCAGGCACTACTCCCCGGCTTAATAAGATTTGAAGTAAGCGCAGGCACGCAGCAAAGCCCAGCAACGCTTCCAAAAGCCACTAGCACACTGTGGTAGACTGATTGCAAACACCAGGCCGTCTCCATTCTGCAAAGAGAGCCTCACTGGAGATGAGAAATGGCTAGCGTCAACAGCAGACAGATACCTCCAAGTCAATGCTTGTGGCCCTGGATTTGTCCAGGAAAGAACTGCTC